AAAAAAAAAAAAAAAAACAAAACCAAAAACAAAAACAAAAGACTAATAAAAGAGGGTATATCTCTCTTGATGTACTGTTTTCAAATTCAATACTTTTGTTGATGAAAATTATCAGCAAACTAGGAGAAGGGAGTGTCCTCAATATAATAAAGAATCTATATTAAAAAATCCAAAGTTAATATTGTGTGAGAAAACCAAAGGATAAATATGGAATGGAGGGCAGATATGGGAAGGTAGGAAGAATATGTTCAAATGGGAACTAATACAAGAGAGGGGCAAGGGGAAAGAGATGGAAGAGAAAAGAAAAAAAAGAATGAAAGGAAAAAATGGTAACAAAATTCCTGTAAGAAAGGAGGGGAAGAAGGCTTGAAGGAAGCGGAGGGGAGTGGGAAAAGAGAAGAATTAAGACACATTATGTGCAGGTACAAGTTCACTATGATTAATGTGATCAATATGCATAACAAACATGTACTAATAATAAATAAAGTTCAAATATAAAGAAAAATCAAACATCTCTGAATGTCTATATATTCATACATTGGTAAAAACTTTAGTTCTGTTAAATATGATAGTCTGTGAATGTATGCTTTAATATCAAAATAATTTTTAAAAGATGACTGAATAAAAATGGCAGTGAATCTCTTTCCCAACATAAAAAAAAGTACTTACATCTCAATAAGGACAATATTTTCAAAATAAGCAAAACTTCTGAATACACACTTCAGCAAAAGAGATATGTAAATAGCAATGATTTTAAAATGTTCAAATTATTCATTAGAGAAAGGCAACTACACTCCTACTAAAATGGCAAACATTTTAAAAGCCTACCATTTCAAGTTATGGCAAGGATATGGAGCAAATGGAGCTCATATACATTGCTGGTGGGAATGCAAAATTGTAGTCATTTCCTCATGTTTAACCAAATAAATAGTTCATGTATTTAAATATATGCATACTTACCTTACAGCCTAGCAAGTTTACACATGACTTGGGCATCAGGAGACTATTGGCTGTTTGTTCTTATTTCTAGATACCTTCCACCTTTCATTATCAAGGCTCTGGAGAATATATTTTCATCTTAAGCAAAAGTCAAATTTATGGATTTCCTTAGCTCCTCAGGTACACAAATTTACTAGTTAAGGTATAAGAAAAATGGCTATAATGTATCAATTTATATGTATAGCTTATTTACCTTAACCATTTTAAGATACACTCATCACTATCATCCTTTCCAGAGCTCTTTTCATCCTGCGAAACTATGCCCCTCTCTCTTCCCATGCCGCCCAGTCACCATCATTGCAGTCTCCACCCCCACAGAATTCTGACTACTCTGCGTACCTTATAAGTGGAATCTCATAGTATTTGTGCTTTTGTGATTGACTTATCTCACTTGGCATAATGTCAAGATTCATTCTTATTATAGCATAGAATTTCCTTCCTGCCTAAGGCTGAATAATATTTCATTGTGGATATGAATACATATTACATTTTTCTTAGCTGTTCGTTCATGCACATTTGAGTTGCTTCCAATTTTTAAATATTATGAACAGTGCTGTTATGAACATTTGTACAAATACCTCATTGAGACTGTTTTCAATCATCTTGAATATACTCACATGTGGAATTGGTGGATTATATAGCTCTGTGAATTTTTAAGAAACTATTGTTTTCCATAACAGCTGTACCATCTCCACTTCCACCAACTATGCACAAGGGTTCTAATTTCTGCACAACCTTGCTAACTCTTATTTTCTGTATTTTTATTGGTAGTCATCTTAAGGGTTTGAGGAGGTACCTAATTTTAGTTTTTATGTACATTGCACTAATCAACAGATGCTGAGCATCTTTTCATGTGTTTATTGGCCAATTGTATACCTTCTTTGGAGAAATGTTTATTCAAGTTCTTTGCCTGCTTCTAAACTAGGTTGTTTTTTTGTCAAATTTTAGAAGTTTATACATCCTGGATAGTAATCCCTTCTAAACATATGATTGGAAGATATTTTCTCCCATTCTCTGTGTTGCCTTTTTACTCTGTTGCTGTTTTTTGATGCACAGAATTTTAAAATTTTCATAAGGTCTATTATCTATTTTTCATGTTGATTTTGCTACTTGTGTCATAACCAAGAAGTTATTGCCAAATCCAATGTTGTGAAGGTTTCCATTTAACAGTTTCATAGTTATTTAAGCCTTATGTTTAGACCTTAACTCATTTTAAGTTAATTTTTATATGTACTGCTAGGTAAGAGTCCAACTTGATTTTTTTTCATGCAGATATCGTTTCCACATACAATTGGTTGAAAAGACTGCCGTTTCTTCCTTGAATGACTTTGGCATCTTCATTGAAATCACTTGAGCATATATGGTATGGTTAATTTTTCAGCTGTTTTATTCCACTGGTGTAGATTACTGTTTACATTATTACTACACTGTTTTGATTATTATAGCTTTGTAATTAGTTTTGAAATCAAGAAGTATGAGTTTTTAGCTTTTTCTTTTTCATGATTGTTTTCTTTGAATTGTTAAGAGTATATTACTTAATTTCCACAAACTTGTGGATGCTTGTTTCTGATTTCTAACTTCATCCCCTTTTGTGTAGAGCAAATCTTTTGTGGTATCTTTTCCTTTAAATCTTCTGAGACTATTTTCTAACCTATACTCTGTCCTGAAAAATGTTCATGTGCATCTTAGAAGAATGTGTACTTTGTTGGTATAGTATAAAACGTTTTGTTTATGTCTGTTAGATTTTGAACTATTGGCTGCACTGAGTGGGCCTCCAGTGTTTTTGAAAGGGAGTCATCTATTTCCTTCTGATTTGTGCTCTCATAAGTACTCCAGGAGCAAGTCAGACGGTTCTACAGAACATTTTTTTCTCTCCTTTGGACTTTCTGAGCCTGATGATACTTTTGAGGGACCTAAAGTCAAAGCTCCATTCCCAAGGGGTGTTCATTCATTCTATAGATGGTCTATAGTCAAATTAAATTGAAAGATCATCTTTATATTAAATGCACAGCAGATTCTTCACCTTCTGGATAAAATCTGATGAAACACAGAAACCTACCTTAATTAATCAATTCGTTTCACTGAGGAGGATTGCTTGTTAGCTGCTTATACACTACTAAAAACGTTTAGAGATGTCCCCAAAGACTTTGTTTTAAAGGCCTTTGATTCTCTTTCCTTTGACCCTGGAGAAAAAAAATCAAATGATGATTAAAGTAAAATGGCACATTTCACTAAAATTTACCTACACTACCCCCTACAGCTGCCTTTTGTAAAACAGCTGTAGGGGAAGACAAGAGATTTGGGGTAACATGCACAAATCTTAAGGGTTCAAAAACTGGAAGAGAAATGAAAAACAAACCAAAAAAGAACAACTGTAGAGCAGACACCTCCATCACTACTAGAACAAAGTCTAAGATTCTGGGACAGGACAGCCTAACTACTTAGTGTCTTTTAGCAGTCTTGAACGTGCCCAAGCATATGCACCCCTGGAACTGCCAGGATCACTTTCATCAAAACACAGGAGTTGAGACTGCACTTTAGGAAGTGACCCTCTCTTTAAAATAAACATTCACAAGTATGCGCTCTACTGCATAAATTCAACCAAATTATTTTACTTCTAACATCTGGCCGAGACCCTCAGCCAACATTGTAGGAGACTGGCGTCATCTGGGAGTAATTAATAAAAATTAGTTTGGTCGTTGAGCTAAACACAAAATAAGGGCACTGCACTAACCATTTCTACATGAGCACTACAGGAGGTGGAGAAAGTGAAACAGATATTTTTTTTTTCCTCCCGTACTGCAGATTGAACCAGAGACCTTCTCACAAAGCTAAGCTTAACGCCTTATTATTATTATTTTTAAAATTTTTGAAACAGGGTCTAAGTCGCCATTGCCCAGCCTGGGCTGGATCCCGAGACCCTCCTGCCTCAGCTCTATAACCACCTGTTTGATCTGCACAACAGTCCTAGTGTGTCTTTGTTCCGTCCTCACCCCTATTATGCCATATGAGGCTCATACCTCCGATTCCATCCCTCAGGAGGGGCTTTGAGTTACTTCATGGATGGGTCCCGGGCAAAATGACCCTAGCAGGACCTAAGGAACAGGCTTGCAAACCTGCAGATCTCTGGCCCTCACCTACCCGAAGCGCCTGATAACGTAAAGTCTGCAGCCACCCAGGCTTGGGGCGCAAGTGACCCGGAGAGTTTTGAAGTCCTCTGCTTCGGAAAGCGCGCATCAGTGAGCGGGCTCTTCCGCGGAGCCAAATAGGCCCGGATTCCCACCATGTCACGATGGAGCCCAGGACGCTTCCTCTCTGTGGTTCAGTCCAGACACGGGGCTCGCAAGGCCTGCCGGGACGGCCGGACTTCCGGACTTCCGGTCCTCGCTGAGGTGAGAATGGGACCGCGGCTTCCGCTGTGGGGCGCACAGGCCTGTGAAGGTTTGGCTGGGCTTGGCTTCTTCTCGGGTTTCTGTGCCTTGGTGGTTTCCATACGCTCCTTAATTGCAGGCCAGACTTTGCGTGGGGCTGTGGGGAGGCGCGGACACAGACCTGAACTAGGAGCGGCTGCTGTAGTGCGAGAGGGGTCCTCTGAGCTTTTACAAAACAGTACTACAGCAAGTGCGGAGTGTGAGTCACACCTTCCTCGGCGTTGTGAGAATGAAATAACAGCTCTACCAAGGTGCCAAATATTTCCCTCCTCATTGGGCCTCTTGATTATTATTGACTTGAAAGAGTTGCTTCGGTTGTTGACTTTCAAGTGCTGCAGGTGAGTTTTTAAATTTTTATTTATTTATTTTTTTGTACCGGGGATCGAACTGAGAACCTAGAGTTTGCGAGGCAGGCGCGGCGCCACTGAGCTAAATCCCCAGCTATTTTTTATTTTTAATAACTAACGTCGATTCAGTACGTTCTACGTGCCAGGTTCTGTGGTAAGCGCTTTCACTGGTTATGTCTTTTGTTGTTTGTGGTGCTGGGAATCAAACCCAGGGCCATGTGCACACTGGGCTAGCGCTCTACCGCGGAGCTGCATCCCTCAGCCCTGCTTTTGAGGGGTTTAATGTCATTGTTGCCAAGGCAGACATTTCTTTATTTTTAATGCCGCTGTGCATGTTAATGTGACGAGTCCGATCCCTACCTGTTACAAGGTACTTTTTCCTTTATCTTGTTGAGCTCACTTCTAACATAAAATTATGAGGGCTGGGGATTTAGCTCAGTGGCTCTACCGCCTGTCTTGCAAGCATAAGGACCTGAGTTTGATCCCCGGTACCAAAAACAAAACAAAGAAATGGACCTTCAAGATGAAATTATACTCTAAAGAAAAAAAAATGACTGTTGCCTGAGAAAGGGTCAACACTGCACAAATAATTTTTCACAGTAAAAGCCCGATGTAACTAAATATTATATGGCAATATTATTAACACTAATATCATATAATAATGCCTAGGCATTAGCAAAAATCCCATAAGGCACCAAAGCCCTTTTTAGTTATTGTGCAAATAAGATTTCTATCGTTGGGGAGTTCCAGCTTGGAAATAAATGACCATCCTTCTACTCAAAACCACTTATTGTGCATACAATATTAGACATCGTGTTAGCTTTATGGGTGCAAAGATAAGGAACATGGTTCCTTTTCCTCTCAGGCTTACAGGAATTTCACTTCATTGAAAGTTAACATTCCCACCTTACTCTGTACCTCAAATTTAACATATTAAAGAGAACTCAAATCTCTTCCAGTTTTCTTCATGTAAGTAAATAATTTTACAAACCAAAACCTTAAAAAAAAACCCCAACAAAACAAAAATGCAAACTGAGCCTCAAGTTCTAACTCTCATCGTCAGGAAATTATTATTTCTCACTGCAAGCTCTTGAGTCAATCCATATATCTCCACTCCTATTGCTCCCACTGATTCTAAACACCTACCACCTGGACTATTGTTATTAGTTTCCTTGTTTTCTACTCATGTCTTCTTATAATCCATTCCTCAAAAAATGTAACATTGAAAAACAGATCACATCATTTCCTTTTTTAAACCCTACTCTCCACCCCTGTCACTTAATGAGTTAGGAATAAAATCCTAATTTACCTTCACACGTGATCTGAGCCTTGTCCCTCTGTCATACCTAACTACACAGTGTCCACAGATACATAGCTTACCTGCCTAAGAATCTTTGTGCTAGTTCTCCTAGCCTTCTTTGAGGCGTCTGATTAGAACCCTCAGTCTTAGGTAGTCACCCAGACCCATACTGTTACACTTTTGTCGCATTGCTGTGTTTAGAAAGCACTTTATCATTAACAAATACCCTTTCTTCTTCTGCACTTTTCCTCACTACACTGTGAACTTAGAGGCAGGAACTTATTTGGTTCACTCTTACATCCTCATTACTAAGGCAAATGCCTGACATGTGGTGTTTGCTAAAGAACTAAAAATATTTCATAGTTTAAAAATGCTTGAAATTCTCAGGTAATATTTTTCCAGCATGTGGTACTATTTTATTTTCACTATTTGCAATGAATGAAAGAAAAATCCACAGTTATAACAGCCAAACAGTTATCTTCATATTTTGTGTTTTGCATATTATTACCTATTCGTTATTTAAGTAATCATAACTTATGATTACTCATGGAATAACAAGAATCTTTTTTACCTTTACTGAAATTTCTCCATAAGGCAAATTTTACCTTACTGAACTCATGGCTTCACTGTTTTGTGTTCCCTTCAACTTTAATCATTTTCTGTTTTATAGCCTCAGCATCTTTCAGTTACTAAAAATGAACAAATTCTTCACATTGCAGTGCTTAACATCATTTGGAAAAAGTTGACGTTCTTATTTTCATTTGTCTTTTATCAATCTTGTTAAGATTTATTCTGTTAGGAGAGGAGTTAAGATTTTTGATGGCTCAATTACATTTTGAGTAAACTTATTTATATTTCACTCATTTGTAGGATATTTGTATGTAATTTTGAATATTTTCTGCTGGGGTCTAGTTTTTAAAAAATAACAGTTTTTTATTGAGTATAAAAGTTAACTCATTGTAGAACATTGAAACATACAGAAAATCAGAAATAGAATGGTCTCATTTCTATACATTCTATGTTCATGTTTACATTAAAATTGGGTTATGCTACTTTGGAATCTTGTTTAAACTATTGTGAATTTTTTTGTTCTACAATATTTTAATGTGGCAGACACTGTTTGATAGATTTACCCATGTCCATTTAATTAGTGTTCAGTTGCTAGATATGTAGACTTTTTTTCTTTAGCTGTTCAATATTTCATAGTGTGGCCAGGGATTTAGCTCAGTGGTGTCACACCTGTCTCACAAGCAGAAAGAAGGTCGTGAGTTTGATCCCCAGTACTCAGAACAAACAAACAAACCAACCCAAAATGTAATAGTTTTATCTGTGTAGACTGTAGCATTTTGAAACTGTACTAAGCTTCAGATTGGCAGTACTTATATATTCTCATGTTTGATAAAGAACAAAGACTTCTAATTTACACAATATTTTTATAAAACATGGTGTCATTTTACTTTACAGAAAATTTGAAAATAATGATAAAAATGTTTTTACCTCAAATGAGCCATGTGACATTGGAACAGTCTTTTCTTTACACAAGTGTTACCAAACATATAGTACTGCTATCTTAATCTACCTCTTATAAAGGTTGTTAAAATGAGCGTGAGTTTTAGATAATTTGGTCTTAATTGTGGCTCTATTTTCTAATTTATCAAACATGCTTAAAGTACAAATAAGTAGGAAACAATAGATCTTGTGGGAATGTGGGATTATTGTGTAATTATTAGATGTTGAAACCTGTTTTCAGATCCTTTACTTGTTGAGGAATCCTTTACTAATAGAACTTGAATTATTTGTAGTTAACTTTAAATACTCTTGTAAAGTGACTCACTGAAAATTTGAAATGGATTGTAAAAATTGTCTCAGTTCCTTTATCATCACTGTAGTGTTTATTGATAATTGTTAAATTTCAGTATTTGGAAAAATGAAACCAAAATTGATTAAAGAAGTCTTAGAAGAGGAAAAAAAACAAAACAAAACTCAAGTATTGGTAAAATGAAGTGATTAAGAAAAAAACTTTGAACTCACAGACTGCATCATTACTTTTTTCATGTTTATTATTGTTTCTCTCAAATGATAGTCATACTTTTTTTAAAGGTGCTTCATGCACTTTTTTTACGTTTATATAGTTTCTCTCAAATGGATAGTGAGTCATACTTTTTTAAAGATGCTTTGTGCCAAAATGAAACATTTATTTATAACATTTACTTGAATGGACTTGAGTTTTGCTTTTAAGTAAATAACCATCAGAATTCCTTTTCTGAATTTTTTTTTTCTGAGAATTTGTTCTTTACCACCAGAAATGGTCCAGCTGTTACATATATGAAAACAGGGACATAAGTGTTAACTGGCCTATAAAAAACATTATTCTCTTTAACTACATTGTGTTGTCTGCATTGTTCTTCTTGCAGTGTTTGGCCCATTTAAATTATTTAAAAGATCTGAATATTACTATATTAGGGTGGTTAACTTTTTACAAACAAAATCCTCAATTGTAGGGTCACATGCTGTACCCCTCATCCATCAAGAGTATCTTGGTCAAAAAAGTGAATAGGTAGAGTATAACTCAATAATGAGTGGGTGATTTAGTACAAGCTCATTACCACTACCATATAATGAATGCCCATATGAATATTGGTTGGTCAAGGTAATAATTTTTTTTTTTGTTTTTACTTGGTATTTTGAAGTAGGGCCTTGCTATATATTTCAGGCTGACCTTGAACTTACTGGGTAACCTGGGCTGGCCTCAAACTCAGGGTGATTCTCCTGCCTCAGTCTCTGAAGTGCTGGAATTACAGACATGCTCCACTACTTTTGGCAATTATTACTATTATTATTATTGGTACCAGGGATCAAACTCAGGACCTTGTGCTTGAGAGGCAGGTGTGGTGCCACTGCACTAAGTCCCTGGACCAGCAGTTATCTTTTATTGCACAGAGGACTTAACTTTTGTTGTATCTCAAAATGAACTTAGAGTAATTTTGTTGTTGTTGTTGTTGTTGTTGAATGTTATTGAATAATTCAAACTACAGAAATAGAAGGTAAATCATTTTCTGAGGCTTTTTTTTTCCAGTGATTGTATCATGTAAATACATTTTATATGTAGTTATTACTTAACAAGTTACAATTGTTAAGCTGGACAATGCCCCATGAATGTTACCAATACAAAACCAAATCATTATATGGTAGCTATTTTTCTTTAGAGATGTCCTTAGCTGGGGGTGTGGTGGTGCATACCTGTAATCCTAGCACTTTAGGATACTGAGGTAGGAGCATCTCAAACTTGATCACACCTTGGGTAAC